TTTTTCCTTTTCGGTTTTTTTTTCAATTTTTTTTTTTCATTTTTATTTTTCAAAATTTTTTTTATTATTTTTTTTTTCTGTTTTTTTCCGATTGGCTTTTTCTCCAATCTGAAAATTTTTCCCCTTTTCCTTTTTCAGTTTGGCTTTTCAAACTGAATTTTTTTTTCCTAGATACATTCTTTCACCATTTAGGTTTGGATCAATGCTGCGGCGTCATGGTTATTACTCATGACAATAGTTTTTCAGAATTTTTTTTCATATTAATTAGTGAGATAATTTTTTTTCTATAACAATAGATTGCTATAATGAATTTCTTGAGATATAATAACAATATTTATGTATTTTTTTTTCAGCAGAAGATGTAATTTTTTTTAATGCTACAATAAAATTTTTTAAGATAAAAAAAAAAGATTTTTTGTAACAATGTAACAATAAACTACTTATACAAAATTATCTTTGTAAATGTATAAATAAATCATAAATTTCGTAGTACTGAAACATTTCTTTCATATTAAATAAAATTTCCATTTAATAATAATATTTCATATACTGTATAACACTTGCACACAATTCATTGTTATTTGTATAATCATATAAATTGTGTAATTTATTATATTTATTCCTACTAATACCATCATAATAATAGTAAAAAACTAAACCTATTCACACTGCATGGCAAATAAAAATATAAATTATGTTGTTTATTATTACTCTCATCCCCGGCGCATCGCGACGGGCTACATCTTAGTTAGTAATAAATAAATTTTGAGATTATCCGCAGAAATATTTTTTTAATTATAAAAAAAATTTCTTATTTAATGGTTTACTTCAGAAATTGGGTAGTTTCTCGCTCTCTCTCAAAAAAAAAAAGAATTAAATAATTAATGAATCGTTCAACAAATCATAAACACTAGGAAAACGGAAACCGTTGAGGGTCCGTCGCTTAATACGTTTACATACATATATAAATGGTTACACAAAATGTGTTGCTAAAAATAAAGCGTTACAAAAAATGTGATACAAACATAAAAGGAAATAAGCAGGGGCTAAATTATAGTGACGTAGGTGGAAGGAAGGAAAAATACATGGGTTAAACCGGTACTGCAAATTTATCTAGTTCCGTACAATAAATAGTCCTTCGCTACGCTCCGGACAATAAAACTGACCACTTACTATCAAATAACATATCCTTAATAAGCCGATCAACTCAATAAACCAGAACATAAAAGAGAAATGTAATGAATGTAAAAAAAGAAGGAAACCTTTATATGAAAGTCATCAGATTTGTCGTATTTGTTATCAAATGAAGAAAATATTTAAACCAAGTGGAAACAAAATTATCGATGATTTCATTAGATTTACACAAACTAATCTTATTAAAAAAGAAGGAAAAATGGAATTTGTTCCTTTAATCAATTTAAAAATAGAGTATTTTTTTCTAAAGGAGGATTTAGTAAAGTTTATAAAGCTACTTGGATTGATGGGTCCAATTATTGAATGGAATTATGAAATTCAACCTCATCGTAAACTAATTATACAGTTGCTCTCAAAGAACTTAATTCTAAAAACATCACATCTAGAGAATTAAACGAGGTTAAATACATACATACAGTATTTAAATTATGTATTAATTAATACAGTAATATAAAATAAATTTCTTATATAGCTAAAGATATTTTATAATTATTATGCAAAATGGGAAAGACAGTATAATAAAAATAATTTACGTAATGTTCAAAAACTAATTGTATTTAGTACATATTTTGGAATTACACGAGATCCTGAAAATCAAAATATAAAAAATATAATCATTATTATGGATTATTATTTTTGTTATATATGTCTTTCTTTAATGTTAATATTTCAAATTAATAAATTTATTAATTTTAAAATTGATAATTTTTATCATCATAATTTAATAATATTTGAGACTTTAAATCTTTATGAATTACGCTGAATTTATTATGTTCAAAAGATTATTCTCATTTTAAAGGAACATCATTATTGAAAATTTTTTTATTTTTAAATCACATTCAAGTGAATGAATATTATTGTGATATATAAATATAATATTTTATATCATTTCAGAAATTATGAAAATTTTATTAAATAAACAATAATAACTTCAAATAAAAAAAGGTCATTAATAATAAAACTTCCAATTTAGTTCCAAAATAGGTCAATAAGAAAAAAAAAAATTTTTTTTCTTTTTATCCCTTATAAGTTTTAACCGATAAAAATATTTAAACTATTTGAGTACGAGAAAAAAATAAATAAATTTTCAAAGACCGACTTGGAAGTGAGATACCCGTAATTTCGACATGATTAATGAATGTATACTCAATCCGCCAATTCAAGACCTATTTGATCAAGATTCCAAAGTAACTTGATTACCGTCTAGTTTAGAAACAGGATCATGGTTAATTTCTCAGGACGTCAGGGCGTTGCATAGATTCTAAAGTCATTTCCAATGCGCAATTCATAACCATATCAGAATTTCTTTACAGTTTTTACAAAGAGTAACTTTATCACGCGTAAAGATATACATACTGCCAACATAATTTTGTGAAGAAGTAGTCGTGGATGAGTTTGCATTCGGATCGTCAAAAAAGACACGAATTGTAAACGGATATCCAAGATAATTTTTTTTGACTCTAATCCGATCTTGCCAATGAGTTAAACTATGGTTTTAAGAAAAAATTTAGTGTTTTATTTTTTCACAAGAAAAAAAAATAGTATTAATTACAAAAAAAAACTTACAGATATCTGTTTGGACGGTAATAATCGAGTATTTGCTTTAACAATTCTCCTTCAGTATAACCGATTTATATACTTGTAGTTTATAAGAAACGAATACCTAACATCATTTGAATTCAAAAATTCGGTATCACTTTTTTTAAAAGGAATCAAATCAGTGTCAACACCAATTTTTTTTCTCTTGGAACATAATTAAAAGTTCTGCTTGTTTGATCATCCTCTTCAATCCAAACATCTGGATGACATGATTGCCAATAGCAACAAAGACGATCAACATTGCAATGATGTAAAAGAATATTGGACCAAAAGCTGCAACATCTGGATATTCCATATGACCAACATTGACATCACCAACTGCAGAATGTAAAGCATCATGAACAACCTCTACGGATGCAAAATTTCCATTTAAGTTTATATCTCTGGTCCATCAATGATTACTGAATTTTCACTAGTTTTTAACAAGGAAGATTTGATAAATATTAGGGTGAAAAGATGTTGAGCAATCTTTATCATGTTTAAGCAGCTTGTTTCATCAGCTTTGCTAAGGTAGTTCTCACTCAGATGCCTGTTTGTAGCAAATCCTTCGGGAGTATAAGGTGCGCCAACTTTTGGAACGTACGGTCTTTGAGTAGGATTTCCTAGGATATGAGAAATACAGTATAAGAGTATTGAGATCGATATTCGTTATTCTATTTTATCAATTATTTTTGATCATTTACTTTAGTCACCCACAAGGGACATTGTTCCAAGGTTTTTGAGAGTGTGTAAGCTCTTAACGGATTTGAAATTCCGAGTATCTTTTAGAATTATCTTTTTCAGTATCAGCGGCTACACGAACGGTCTCATCAAAAAAGAATAATGGTATACCATGAGCAAGGGTGGAAAGGTTCAAGTATGGAAATCGAAGATCTTCGAGAGCTTTTACATATCTTGCTTGAATCATTTTGATAACTATCAATTAAAAAAAGAAAGAAGCGAAGAGATCAATCATTTACTACTTTATAAACATTATATATAGTATTATAACAATAACCTTTGCTTCATTATAAATAAATACATTGTTCTAGAACATGATATAGGTTCGATGTCAAGTTGGAAACAAAATATCACCATGACGACAATAACCACCCTCAATTGATTCCAGGACTTTCTGTTATAAGTACCCAAAACACCTCGTAAGGTAACCCATATATCCCAGCGATTTGGTAAGATCCGAAGAATTTTTTTTGTCGAATGAGAGCAATTCCTCTCAAGAATAAGTTACGTTGTTCGACATATTTAACATATTTATCATCTGTCATAAGTATCTCGACAGCAAGGCGAAGTTTTGGCTCAGTACCTGAAGAAATACGAAATTAAAGAAATAATAATGAGTTGACGTAGTAATAAGAAATCATAACTAATAAATAATTAATACTTACACGATCACTCTCATTAGTTTCTGCCATAGGTTTTTAATTGATAATAAAAAAATTTGTTATGTCAGAGAATTTTGATAAATTACTCCTCTTTATGTTTTATTGATTTCTTTTCGATCTTCATATTCTCTTTTTCTTTTTGACAAATCATAAAAGCACTATTATTATCTTTGGTTATTACACAGATATAAAAGGAATTGAGATGAATTGAATGGATTGAATCAGCTGTCAAATAATTATAATTATAAAAATTGAATTTTGTTTAACGTACGATTAGTATGGAAAAAAATAACTAATATTAGAAATTCCTTTTCAACTTTTAGTGACATTTCATTAGCTGCACAATAACCAAACATTTTGAATGTTAATTATTTAGACGCCAAGTAATAATGTTGGCGAGATTTTTTGTTCTTAAAATAATTTCATTCAAAGTCGGGTTCGAATCAGAGTTTAATAATAAGCTTTTTAATTATTACCAAATGTGGACAATAAATGAATCATGAGACCTGATTTTTAATTGTTAAAATTCTCTATTATTCTTCTTAAAGATATATGAGACTTTTTTTTTTTTTTGTGAAAAGGGAAGACGGAATTTTTTTTTTATTAATCAGACAAAGCAGAAAATAATATTTCCAAATTGGAAAATTCTGACATATCAACGTTAATTTATATGGAAATTTGAATTAATTATCCCTTCTATTTTTAGAGATGATCACAAGGAGATTTTGATTGTTTTATTTGTACAGTGTAACTTCAAAGTGTAACTTCATAAACGTGATTTCGATCTAATTAATCGCTCGGGATGATTTTGCAAGACAAGAATACTGTACTACTAAATTAGGAGATTAAGGGATTTCGTTATCTACTATATAGATAATATCAAAAATAAAAAAAAAATTAAACCCATTTAAAAACTTCTAAAAAAGAGAACATTATGTTCTAATATTAAATCAATTATTGATCTTATTAACACGAAACCTATTCTAGTTTCTCCAATTAACTCTAGTTGACCTGAATCCTGATTTCGAATTATTAGATCGTTTTATTCGCTACTCACTTTTTCGTTATATTAACAAATAATTCATTTTATTTACAAAATGATTAAACTTAATAAATATGGTTTCGGAGAATTTCAAACATTTAAAAATCAGTTAATTGATGATAAACTCTAAAAATGGAAAAGTATAGAAAAAAAGCAAATAAAAAGTGATATAAAATTCTTAAATCGAAAAAGTCTATTATCATTACGAAAATTCTAATTTTTCATCTCTTAGTACTTAAAAAATAGTTAGATATTTTCTTTCCAGTTAAATTGAAGGATGTTAAATTATCCAACGGCTAAGATTAAATTCAGCTCAATAAAGCTTAGAAATAAAGCAAAGCTACTGTAACGAAAACGAACTTTTGAGAAATCAGAAATTACGTATAAATATTTAAACGCGAATATGTTACTTAAATAATGTATCAAATATTAAATTCTAATTTTTATTCTTAATAGTCTAATACCATGTTTTTAGATGTTTACCATAAACCTTCTCTGGTGAGGATTGGGCTAATTGTTCATGATTAAATTTTACAATATAACATAACTGAATTCTTATAGTGTTTAAAAATGTGTTAATATTTTTCTTGTACTGAATAATTGAATAAATTAATCAAATGTACAGTATATATCATGATATCAAAATTGTCATTAATACATGGTGATAATTATATTTTTAACATTTGTGACAATTATATCGAATGACATAATCATATTTAATGACATAATCATGACTTATTTTACATCATTGTATAATATATATACCTAAAAACACATATGATTATACGGTCACAGTTTTTCTATAATCTTTTTATCCTATTTAACAAAATGTTTGGACATATAAGATTAATTAGATATGGTCTCAAAAAGCATTCAACGTTCCAACCTTCTGGTTTCAAAAAATATTCGACATTCCAACCTCCTGGTAATCTAGGGAAAGAATTTAAGTTGATGAATTTTCAATCTCCCGGTTTCAGAAAATATTCAACATACCAACCTCCTAGTGGTCTAGGATATTCAAGAAAAAAGATTTATGATCTGGAACGAAATTTAAATGAAATGGGACAAAAATTGAGAGAAGAAATTAATAATGTGAGACAAGAAATGGAGAAAAATTTAGGAGAAGAAATTAATAATGTGTGTCAAGTAATGTTAAGAAAAGAAATTAATAATGTGAGACAAGAAATAGGTCAAAATTTAGGAGAAGAAATTAATAATGTGAGAGAAGAAATAGGACAAAATTTAAGAAATAAAATAGAACAAGACTTAAGAAAAGAAATTAATGAAGTGAACCGAAATTCATTAAAAATCATCAATAGAGAATATGAAATATCAAGTGTGTAGTTATATTGATGATCTTTATTATTTTTTTTATTATTATAATACTTATTAACGTTAATGAATGTTAGGTTCTGTTTTAGTTACGCTTTCTGCTCTTTATTGCACTTGCATGACAACACTTGGTAAGGCTTTGCTTTATTTTCATTTATATTAATAAATATTAGTACTAATAATTTATGAAAATATGAATAATATAGCATGTTTATCAATTTTGGATAAATGGGAAAATTTAAAACTTTATTTTTCAAAACGTTTGGAAAATTTTGCAAGTTATTTTTAACTTATTCTTTCTTTCTTTTTACTTATTAAATTGATTCAAATTAACAATATTTTTTATTTATTATTTTTTTTTTACAGAAAAATGAACATTGGAAAAATGAAAACTTATTAAAGCCTAAATATTTCAATATTAATAATATCTTGGTGTGAATATGTAATAAATTAATATAGTTTGTTTTGCTATAAGATATTGATTTATTTTGAAATGATTTATTTCTTTTATTAAAAAAAAAATTATTCAAAATTTTAAAATTTTAATTTTCCTTAAGTTATAATAACTAATAAATCCTGATAAAATAATTAATGTAAGTTGAAATGAAAATTCATGAAATTATTGAAGGTATTATTTACTTTAATAATAAGAATTGTGTTTTAGTTGGGTAATAATTAAATAATACAATTTGTACAAAACTTAAGTAATTGAATATTATATATACTATCCCTATAAGAAATATGTATACGGAAAGGATATGTTTTGTATACATTTTATGTACGTTTCTATAGATTCCGTATGCAAATTCCGTATATTTAATAAGCAATTCATTTTTGAACATTTTTTAAAAAAACTAATGTATACGGAAAAAATGAATGTATACGGAATTTTTAAACTTAATATTTTTAGAAGATAATTTTACAAAAATCCCGTATCATAACACGAGATCACATGATTGTTTATTGATTTGTTATGATACGTTTTTTGTTTTTTATATAAACCCTTACTTTGATGAGTTTGATCTTCCGATCTTCCTTTCTGTCTTTCCTTTTTTTTCTCTTTTCTCTTGTCTTATTTTTGTTATTTTTTCTAAAATTTTCTTCTTTCTTCATCACCCCCTTTTAAAAAAAAAAATTTTTTGATTTTATTCTTTTATTCCCACTCTTCTTTTTTTTTAAAAAAATTTTCTTCTTCCTATTTCTATTTCCTCTATAAAAAATTTTTTATTTTTCCAACTTTGACGTCCTCCCTTTAAAAAAAAATATTTTTTAACTTTCCTACCTTCGTTACCTCTCTTTTTAAAAAAATATTTTTTTTTGATTTATCCCTTTTCTTTTTTATTTATATTTATCCTTTTTTTTATTTCATAGGCCAGCAGATTTTTTTTTTTGTAAGAAGATTCAGTTTTCTTTTTTCTTTTTTGTAGATCAGTTTGGGAGTCCTTTCCTTTTTGTAGGATGGTTCATATGGAAAGCCGTCCTTGACAAAAGGTTGATATCCAGACATCATGTTGGATAATGTCTAGACATCATGTTTGATAGTCTAGACATCATGTTTGATATATGTAGAATAATGTTTGTACATCATTCAACATGATACTCAAGCATCAACCGACATGATGTCTTAGACATCATGTTACCAAATATAGTAAATTTTATTTTGTGTAACTCATAAATATACTATATTTGGTAATTTGATCAGCATGATGTCTAGACATCATGTCGGTTGATGTCTTTCACATCATGTTAAATAATGTACAAACATCATCCTACATATATCAAACATGATGTCTAGACATACCATCATGATGTCTAAATATTATATTTCATGATGTTTGGACATCAACCTTTTGTCAAGGACGGCTTTCCATAGGTTCAGGATTTTTTCTTTTTTTAGGTCAGTTCAAATTTTTTGTAAGTTGGGTTCAGATTCTTTTCTTTTGTAAGTTGTTACAGTTTTGTTGCTTCGGAGTCTTCTTTTTTTGTAGGTTAGTTTGGATTTATTTTGTTGTTTTGGTTTCTTTTTCATCAGACACTTCATAATTCTTTTCTTTTATGTAGGTCAGACATTCTGGAGTTCTCTTTCTTTTTTTGTAGGAATGCTAACCTTTGGTGACTTAGATGATTGCAGATACTATATGAGGGGGTTTTGTTTCCAATTAAGTTAGACGTTCTTATGTTTCTTTTTTTTTTGTTTTTTTAGGTTATTTGACTCCAAATGAACCTGAACTTATAGATAATTTTGGTTGCAATAGGTGGTTTTAATAAGGAGGGAATTTTCATAATGTATTTGTATTTTGTTTATTTTTTATTTTTTATTTAATTTAATAAAGTAAAATTAGATTTATGAAAATACAATTATAGTAAACTGTAATACAAATAGTAAAATTCAGTGACCAAATCGTATAAATTTCGTGATAAAATCAGTGATCAAATCATGTAAATTCCATATGAATCCCGTGCAAATTCCGTATCCAAACCATATTTTTAGTGATACGGAATTGTGCATTTTTCCGTATCCTATTATGATACGTTATTTCTAAGGAAAAAAATCGTATAAAAACTTTATAAAAAACGTATCCAATTTTTTTATAGGGTATATGTTATGAATAATTGAATATTATGATTTACTATTGAAGATGATAAAAACCCTGATGTAAAAACTTTTTGATCAAATACTTTTAGATAATCCAAGTAACAGTTCTAAGCAGCAGATAATAAAAGAAATTATTAATACCAAAAGTAATAGATTTAAAACATTATCACAAATAAACATGCTTAATTAATCTCAATGTGGATTGATAAATGATTAGAGATTACTATGGATAAATTTAAACATATTTAATTTATTATTATTATAGATGGTTGAAAGTATGTAAAGATTTTAGCACTTCCTTTATTGGCAAATTTAAGGAATATTTTATATTAGAGATCAATAACCAATTACGATTTCTTCAAGTTTATTACAAATAAATTCTTAGATGATATCAGAATGTGGAAATCATTTAAATAAACTTTAAATAACAGTGTAAAAAAATCCTTTTACTTTTTAACGAAGTCAATCATAAAATTATTAATATAGCTTTGATTTGACTCATTTAGTTCATAAGTTATTTTTGTGTATTTATTGCATTTTTTCAAAAGAAATTTCGTTATTTTCTAAACATTAAAATTTCCACTGATTGTTGGAATAACAATAATGATTTCTATATATTATATTTAATTTCTTAAATATGATAAAGAAAATTTTGAAAAAAAAAATCAATAAAAAATCAATACATGTTTTAAACCAGAAATATAAATATATACTATGATATAGTATACAAATAATAAATGAATTTGCCATAATACTTGATGTTACCAATTATTAATAGTGTCAAAAATCATATTTAAAAAGAAAAATTACTTTATAAATTTTGATAATTTAAAGTATGATATCAATATCGAAATCAATTTCATTGGTAATATATTCTACATTTAAATTAAAGAAATTAGGTTTGTAATATTGACTAAGGATTTTCATTTACAGTATATTTAAAAATATGTTTACATACCATTATTATTAAAATTTACATCAATGTCTAAGTTGATTTCTTCTGTAAGGTAATCTAAAGAATATATAAACAATTTTATTAAAATTAAATCATGAATTTAATATATATTTACGAAAAAGTAATTACCCTCATTTTCATATAATTTTTTTCTTTTAATACTTCGACCTAAATAATTAGTAAACAATTATTTACTAAAGTTTTATCAATTACATTTATTTGTAATTTACAATAATTATCATACCATCATTATTATCTTCAGTTAAATCATCCCTCAAATCTTCTTTTTAATTTTTCTAAATTAATAGATTGACTTCTTGAACTCTTTAAAGACATTGCAGAATTAATCATGGCACTTAAAGGTCTGCTCTTATAAATGGCATCTGGATTATTTTTTGGCACAGGTCCAATATCTGATGATTTTATAATTTCAGTTGGATTTTTTTTATTGTGATTTCGACTTTCTTCCAATTGCATATTTTCAACTCTCTTATATATATCATCAGCTGTTGGTCTTTTACTTGGATCAGAATCCCAGCATTCTTTTTGAAATTTTTTTTACATATACTGTAATTAATTATACTTATTTATTTTTTTATTTTTTTTATTTATTAAGATATGCTATAATTTTTGGAAAACTAATCAAAGAAACTTTCTTGTATTCTTAACCTTTAAATCATATTCTAATTCTTGACGCCTGCATTCAGACATCTTTATCATGAAAAATAGGCTTATTTATTTATGATAACTTTCAAAATTTTTGATATTATTTTATATTAATAAGTTATCTCATCTTAGAGTGATTTATATACAAACCTCAAAATACTTTATCACCGTCTTATGTATCTCTTGTTTTAAAAAAAAATATTTAGACTTGCTAAATATAATTTCAGAAACTTTTTCAATATTTTAAACTCTAAATAAAGTAAAAATAACAGCAAATAATAAATTAATAGGAAATTTAAATAATATTAAATTTGAAAAGATAGAATTTAAGGACGAGATTTAAGAAAAATTATTGCGTGAATATTAATGTTATATTTGTATTATTAACTTTTAGTACTGACAGATGTTTTAAATTGTTAGCATTTTGTTAATTGGGAAAGTTTTCCTGCTGATGCAGTGCTTTGTAAGATATTGCTTTATTTTTTAAATCTTTCATATATAATAAAAAGATAAATATAATTCTAATTATTTTTTAAAATAATACATGTACAGTAATTGAAAATTTGTATGAACGTTCAAACAATCCTTACCTTCACAGTCTCAATATTGATCCTGCTGATGTTGACAGAAACTGGTTAATCAAGGAATTTTACCCAGTTAATTAACGTTAATTAACAGGTTAATATTAAAAATTCTATATAAATTGTACGACTTATTGCACATATCAAGATTAAAATATTTGTTAAAAAATTGATATCAACATATCTCTGGCCCGCACTGCCAAAATATGATTATTTCTTATAAGATCATTTCAAAATATCTTAAATCAGGTTATTTGGATATCATGACAAAAAAGTCGTCTACCAAAAACTACTATATCTAATAGTGGTCTTAAAAAAAATTTTTGAAATCATACATGAAATAATATTTACTATAAATTAAGCTGCAGTTACTTATTCCCAAATTGTTTTTATATATATAATTTATTATGTATTTTTTCGAAAAAGTATTCCTATATTTATGGATAAATATTATTAAGTACTGCACAAATATTATGGATTATTAAAAATGTATATATATTAAAATTATTTTATTTATTTAATGTGTCCATCTAAATTATACTAATATCATAATAAATAGGATCTTGAATAATTTCAAATTATTCGCTAATGTTATATTATTTATTTGAATTCTCCTTGGAAATAATAATTTTAAAATTGTTAATTTTATTAAAAGTTAGTTATATAACTTTAAGAACAAATAGTATTCGAACATTATAATCAATATGAAATCAATTATTAATTGGCCTATTAACTTAAATAGCTCTGTAAATTTTAGTAACGTTAATTTATATTCATATCCTTATTTACAAAATTATTTCCTTTTATGCGTTAAATAAATACATAATTTTATCTGAAATAATAAATTAAAAAATCCAGTACAATTTGTTATATTGAAATACTTCACATTCTTTTACATTAAAGTTATCTCTAATCACTTTTCATAAGAAGAATTACCGCACGAATATTATGATCAAAAGTTTTTCTGAAATTGAGTTGAATCATATTTGTAATTAAATCAGTATAAACATTCTCGAATTTCCAAGGAAGAATCATTGCTTTATTTTAACAAAAATAATCGTAAATAGATGATTTTTTCCTGAAGACTAAGTTCATTAGTACTTTAATTATATTGAATTATCAAATTCATTTTTCATCATAAATATACCTAAAATATAAAGTTCAGTTGCTATGAATTTTTAAATATTTCATAAGAATTACGCCGTTAATAATACATTTTTCCATTAAAAGAACTACATTCTTAAAAAATTTATAGCTTTGTGATTAAATCAATATTCGAACAGTATTAAAAATTTGAACAAATATACGATAAACTAAAATTATCAATTTTATATATACTTTTTTATATAAAAAATTACAAAAGGCTTTTTCGAAATGTAAATTTTTTTTTTTTTTTAAAAAAAAATAAAAGAAAGATTTTACATGATAGAAATAATTATCTGGAATGTTCTCGTGGAATTTGGAATGTAAATACAGTAACAAAATCGAATCGTTCGAGACGATAAATTTTGTTGGCTGATCAGCTGATGATCATGATGATCAGAGGTCATGCCAAATTCGCATGGGCTATGTATTATATTTGTTACAAACTTTTTTTTTTTTTTTTTTTTAGATATATTTATGGCGGAAAACTTGATTTGGAAATTAATGATACTTCAAATATCATTAAAGTCTTGGTTGCTGTCAGTGAACTAGGTCTTCAGGAATTAGTTCCCCTATTACAATCCTTTTTGATCAATAAAAATGTAAAATGGATGGAACAAAATTTTAATTTAGTATTTGAAACATGCTTTGAGAATGATTCCTTTCCTGAACTTCAAAAATATTGTGTTAAATTCTTATCCAAAAATCCAGATAATGCGTTCAAATTATTAAATTTATCTTCGATTTCAGAAAAATCTTTAATATCTCTTATTCAACATGAAAATCTTAAAATGAGTGTAGTTCAAATTTGGAATCATATTATTAAATGGGGACTTTCTCATAATTCGGAACTTCCTTCCGATATCACAAAATTTTCAAAGGATGATTTCTATGTATTAAAAGATACTTTAAAAGATTGTATTCCTTTTGTTAAATTTTTTTACTTATCCTCAAAAGAATTTTTGGATAATGTACTTCCTTTTAGAGATGTTTTACCCGAAGAATTACATATAGAGTTATTAAAGCTTTTTTTGAATAGTGATTATAAACCAACTGATTTTCAAATAATTAAAAGATTTGCTTCAAATAATTTTGATTCAAAAATTATTACAATTGATCATATTGAATTAATATCAAAATGGATTGATAAATTAGAAATTACGGACAAGATGAAAAATTTATACGAATTCAACTTAATTTTTCGTGCATCTCGTGATGGATTTACTCCTAAACAATTTCATGAAATTTGTGATGATAAATTTCGTACTATGTCATTTATTAAAGTGAAAGATAGTAATGAAATTCTTGGAGGTTATAATCCAATTGAATGGAAAACTGATTCTGGCTTTGGACATTCTAAAGATAGTTTTATATTCTCTTTTATGGATAGAAATTATATTCTAAGTCGAGTACAGAATGAAAAGCAAGCTGTTACTTATTATTCTCGTTACGGTCCATCATTTGGTAACGGTGACCTTATAATATTTGGAGGAACTGAACATACTTTTGATAATTATGTTAATTATTGTAAAAAATCATCTTATAAAAAACAAATTAGACAATCTATAGATAAATTTTCTATAGAAGATTGTGAAGTATTTCAGATTAAAAGATTTTCCTTTAACAATAAAATTCATGAAATTATCTCTGGTGAGTTTAAAAATTTTTTAAGTTATAATTATTTGATTCTTTCATTAATTAAATAAAATACCATTTTATAGATGATATTGATGATACCGATACCGATATCATTCATAGTACTATGTTCTCGGAGGAGATTATAGATGAATTTGCAGAATAAGCGGAACATTGGCGGAACTACCTTTTTAACGAAATAAGCACGTAATTTTTCGAATTAAAATTTGGTTCACTTTTTTTACTTCCTGAATCCTTTTCAAATTATTGTTGTTTTTTTTTTCTCTGACAAATTCATGATTTTCAAAAACAAAAAGATAATGTTGTAAACATTTTAAATTGGATATAATGATAAAAATGTAATAATTAGCAGGTTCAAGTGATTTTAAAATAAATTCGCTCGTATTAATTCAAATAAAAAAAGTGCATTTTTTTTTTATTTATATATGTACAAATTACTTTTAGCTTTGATTATGACATAACATGTTTTTCTACTTATTATTAATCCATTATTTTTATAGTCTCGTAAATCATGTATTGACAATAAACAATTTCTTATCTTCATATCTTTATTATGAATTAATACTTAAAATATTTGCTTTAATTAATTATAAAAAGCGCAGTTTTAAAGACTTTTTTAATATAATTTTAAATATCAAAAATTCATACATTAAGTAATTTTTTAAGTAACAATTCACGTGTTTGAAATGATTTAGAATATTTCTAAAAATATAATCCTAATCAGCTGTGTGCAGTTATGCAGTATCATGTATGACTATAGAATTCTACGATTGTTACATAGAATTCTCGCAAACATTTCTTAGAAAATCGTATTCTCATAGAAGACTTCTAGAAATTGTGTATAGAATTCGAAAAAAATTCCTTGCTTAATTATTAAATTTAAAACGTATATATTAGACAACAATTTTCCTTGACTCAAATTAAATAATTTTTTTTTATAAAAAAAACATGGAACAACTAACAAACTATAAACATAAAATTGACCTTTTATTATCGAACAATACATCTTTAATCCAACCAACACAATCCATTGTTAAATCAAAATACAAAAAAATTTACTGCACCGAATGTAATAAAGAAAGGAAACCTTCAGATGAAAGTCATCAGATTTGTCATGTTTGTTACAAAATAAAGAGGGTATACAAGTACGGCTCAAGTGGAAACAAAATTATTGATGATTTTATCAGATATACACAAATTAATCTTGTTAATCGTTATGGAAAATTGGAATATGTTCCTTATGAACAATTTAAAAATATAGAATTTATTGCTGAAGGAGGTTTTAGTAAAATTTATAAAGCTACTTGGATTGATGGTCCAGTTATTAATTATAGTAACAAAAGAAATATTCGTTCCCAAAATTATACAGTTGTTCTCAAAAAAATTAATGATTCCAAAAACATCACATCTAAGGAGTTGAACGAGGTATAGTACATATTATGCTGTTTTAATCGACAATCCTTACCATTAATGAGATTAATAAATTAATAAGCTTTCTTCATTTTACTAGCTCAAGGTATTTTATGATATTTATAAAAAAAGTTATAGTTCTAATATTGGCAATTACTTCGGAATTACTCAAGATCCTAAATCTCAAGATATCATAATTATTATGCCATATTATGATTCAGGTGATTTGGTACATTACATCACCAAAGATTTTTTTAATATTAACTGGAATAACAAACTAAATAAATTAAGGATTACAGCACTCGGACTTTATCAAATACATGATTCAAATATTATTCACAGGGATTTTCATAGTGGAAATATCTTTTTTAATAGACAAAGAAATAAATTTATTTATCAGGAGGTACTAATAGGTGATCTTGGTATAAGTAAATCTGCCACTGAATCTGGAGATGATAATGAGAATTATGGTATTATCCCTTATATGGCTCCAGAGATTTTGCAAAGACAAAAATATAATAAAGCTTCAGATATATATAGTTTTGGAATGATTATGTGGGAGTTTATGACAGGTAGAAGACCTTTTTGGGATCGAATTCATGATACAGAACTTATTATTGATATTTGTGATGGTTTACGACCACCAATTGTCACAAATGCGCCTGAAGGTTATATTAAATTAATGAAAAAATGCTGGCATTCTGATCCAAGTAAAAGACCCACAACTTATAAAATGTGGGACAAACTTCGTAATATATCGGGTAATGGAATTGAAATTATAGAATCATCAGATATTGGTCCTGTTCCAAAAAATAATCCAGGTGCCATTTATAAAAGTAGACCTTTAAGTGCCATGATTAGTTCTGCAATGTCTTTAAAGAGTTCAAGAAGTCAATCTATTAATTTAGAAAAATTAAAAAGAAGAGTTGAAAATGATTTAATTGAAGATTATAATGAATATGGTATGATATTTGTCAATTGCAAATAAATGTAATTAGTTGATAAACTTTAGTAAATCATTGTTTACTAATTATTTAGGTCGAAGTATTAAAAGAGAAAAATTATATGAAAATGAAGGTAATTACTTTTTCGTAAATATATATCAAATTCATAATTTAATTTAATAAAATTATGTAAATATTCTTTAGATTATCTTACAGCAGAAATCGACTTAGATATTGATGTAAATTTTAATAATAATGGTATGCATACACACTTTATGTATACTGTGAATGAAACTCTTAGTTAATATTATATGCCTAATATGTATATCTTTAATTTAAATGTAGGATATATTACTAAAGAAATTGATTTCGATATTGATACTTTAAATTATCAAAATTTTAATAAAATTAATTTTTCTTTTTAATTGTTGTCACTAATAACAATTGGTATTTATTATTTATAGTCTTAAATTTATATCATAGTATATTTATATTTTGTTTTTTTTTTGGTTAAAACATGAATTGATTTTATTTGTATCTTTTCTTCAAAATTTTTCTTTATCATATTTAAGAAAATAAATATATTTATAGCGCTCATTATCATTATTTAAATAATCAGTGAAAATTTTTAAATAATGAAGAAATTTCTTTTGGAAAAAATGCGTAAACACATAAATTTAACATATGAACTAAATGAGTCTAAATCAAAACTTTATTAATATTATTAATTCTCATTACACAGAGCACATCTTTATTATCTTTATTTAAAGATTATATCAATTTCCACATTCTGATATCACTCAAGAATTTATTTATAATTTTCCAATAAACTTCCTTAATGACGAAATTTACCAATAAAGGAAAAATTCTAAAATCATTACACACAATACTATTCGTCTATAGCAATAATAAATACAATATCATATATGTGGTTCCAGTAGTGATATTTCTGGTGAAAGCAGAAGGTGAGCCTTCCTTTCCAGTTTTTGTTCCTTACTGGGGTATAAGCTTCCATTCCTTTGTTCTTCTCCATTGTCAACAGACGAGTTACATCTGTCGGTTCATATAAAAAGTCTTATAACAGCTGATTTGCTATCTCACGGGCTTCGTTAGTAGGAATGCTAGGGAGGTAGATAGACTTGCTAGTAAATGATTAAACGTACCTAAAGGTTCGTCTTCTGAATACGGTTCTCCCTCTTCTGTCTACTTCTTTAATTCCATTCTAGTAAATGCTTTTCTTGATCTCTCTCTCAATCTTTTTCATTCCTAGTTCTAGCAATATTTTTAAATGTTCTTCAGAAAGTTTATTATTTGACATACTGTCATTTACTAAATAGTAAGTTAAAGTTATCCCACGTGATAAGAACTGATGATGTCATGATTCATCTACGCGATACTCACGTGAACTATGACCAAATATTATTAACAGCAATTTTATCGAATCGACTCTACAATAGTGGTTTAATCATTTAATAATACAAGTCTTATGAATTGCACTGCAGCATAAGAAATGCGAGCTATTTATTTTTGTACAGATTACCTAGTATGCTTAAGGTAATCGATGATACATATCATGTGAGTTAACATCACAACTTAAATAGATTAGAGATTGGACCCGTCTAAAAAAATCTCTACCCGGGTCGCCTGGCAGATGGACCCGTGGGTCACCCGGGTGAATGTCGGGTCAACCCAACCCGTCAACCCACCCGCTACCCACCCGTAATTCATATAAAAATTACTATTTATTTTAAAACTTGTAAAACATTTATATTATATATTGATTTCTTTTGTTATATAATAGCTTTATTATGATCAAAAAAAGACAAATTTATGATATTTCAAATATCATTAACTCCAAGCTTTACAATATAAACTATTTTTTTTAACAAATAACAATGAATATCATGTTTTAAAGATAAATGTAACTTTATCATTTTACTAATTTATTAATAATTAATACTAAACGGGAACTTTTAAATGGTTTACATTGATCAATAAAAAAATTTAATCAACAACAGTTGACTAAACAGGTGTCCTGACGGGTAATCTGCCAGGTTGACCTGACGGGTTGACCCACCTGCCTCCACCCGGGTGGAAATTATTACCACCTGGGGTCCAATCCCTAAAATAGATTTTGTAAATATATAACTGATGACCATTTTTGTTACAAATGAAACCGGATCATAGAAATTTTAAATGTCTGAAATACTATATATCAAATTAGTTATACAGTATATGACTATACGATTCTACACGAATGCCCAGATGTCCGTCTGGCATGTGACATCATGACTAGGGATGGCAACGGTCAGTTATGGTCGGTTATAATTGGTTATAGCAATTTAAATGGTCAGTTATGGTCAGTTAAAAATTGGTTAAATGGTCGGTTAAATGGTCAGTTATACCATTTTACTTAAATAATTGGTTAAATTGTCGGTCAAATGGTTAAAAATGGTCAGCCAAATGTTAAATGGTTGGTCAAACGGTCGGTTAAATGGCGGTTAAATGGTCGGTTAAACGGTTATGATCGTAACCATTGCCACCCCTAGTCGTGACGATGTCGGTACAGTACTTCAACAGTTTCGTTTCCTAGTGTTAAATTACTAATTCAATGTGAATCTCACTTATTACTATTTCGTATAAATTAATGCAACGTATATTTGATATTATATCGAATCATTTATGATATTTCTTTTTTGTGGTTAAAAACCTCATCATATAGGTGGTAATTTTTGGAATATTCCTTATGTTACTCTTATTTAATAATGGATCTCACATAATATAATAGATATGAATCAGAGATATGTGTTAACATTTGTATATTATAAGTTGCTAAGTTTAGTATCATTGAATTACTGATGCGCGAGATGCTGATTTACTATTTGTACAATATAATTATAATATATCCCGAAAAATTGTTTTTTCATATTTTATTGATAAATGAAACAATTGGGTGCTACGGATACTTTTTTATTATTTAGGGATAATATTATTAATTTTTTTCATTTTTAATGTAATTTTGATTAAATTTATTCGCTAATGTAAATCATTATACTTTAAAGGATAGTGCATTTTATATCTCACCCCAGCCAAATGATCGACATAGTTTCTAAGCTAAGTGGGCGTGCACTACATCCTAGCTTATAAACTGCCCATGGGCCCAGATTAGCCCACGAGATCTGATTGGTCCAAACAACTTACCAACATTTAATTACAAATAAGGCAATTTTATAACTTTTGACCGGATATTTACTTATAAACTCATCGTCAAGGATTGCATTAATGTACATTTTGTACCACCTTGTAACTATAAAAAAGGCAAAAAAATTTTCAAGGTTACACATTAATTTGGCCAGAATTAATATAATTTCGCCCAGTAAAATTTGGACGGAATTATAAAACGGACATAAATGTCCGTTTGCGCCAGAATTATAAAAATGGACATTTATGTCCGTTTTTGTAAATTTGGCCAGCATTATGAATGTAAATATTTTAACTAATCATTCAGTAATCATAAATAAATAAATTATATTTTGTTGGCTTTGTCTCATAAAAATATGCTAAATAGTGGTAATTTCATATTTCTATTATCAATAAATAAAAGTTATTAGCATTTATAAATATTTAAAAATATAAAAAATTATTCAAGAAAATGTTAATATTTTATTATTTATTTATTAATCCTAAAGGTATAAAAC